GTGTGTGTGTGAATAAGAAAAAAGACGAGCACATGTGTGTGTATGGATTTACCATGCGGCAACAGGTTTTTCCTTTGTGGAAATTAAGTACCGTGTTATCTTATCGTATCTTGTTTTGACTGTAATTAAATAATAATAATAATAATAATAATAATAATAATAATAATAATAATAATAATAATAACAATAATAATAATGATGATGGTGATAATATTAACAACAATAATAATAATAATAACAACAACAACAACAATAATGATAATAAAAAAGTAATAATGATTTTAATAATAATGATAGATATATAGATAGATAGATAAATAGATAGATAGATAGATAGACAGATAGATAGATATATAGATAGATAGATAGATAGATAGATAGATAGATAGATAGATAGATAGATAGATAGATAGATAGGTAGATATCACTTATATAAGGAAAATTCCCGCTCAACGCCAAGCTCTACGCGTTTAACAATCTATTTAATTTTTCATTTTTGCTTGGAGAATACCCGCATATTATCATCTTTGTGCCGCCAGTCTCTAGTCCCTGCTCTGTGTCTCAGGCTGCCGTGAGCGCCAAAGGAATGCGCCGTCCTCTCCTTCAAGGTGTTTTCTCGCACCACTGCCTACCTAGGATATTTGGCTGACACTACGGTACACTGCTCTCTCTCTCTCTTTCTCTCTCTCTCTATCTTTCTCTGTCTCTCCTCTGTCTTTCTTTCTTTCTCTTTCTCTATTTCTTTCTTTCTTTCTCTTCCTCTCTCTCTTTTTCTTTCTCACTCTCTCGCTTTTTCTCTACTTCTTCTCTTACACACACTTTTCTCCATGTGTCTGCCTCTCTCTTTTTCTTTCTTTCTTTCTTTCTTTCTTTCTTTCTTTCTCTCTCTCTCTCTCTCTCTCTCTCTCTCTCTCTCTCTCTCTCTCTCTCTCTCTCCCTCTCTCTCTCCATTTCTTCTTCTCTCTCACACACACTTTTCTCCGTGTGTCTGCCTCTCTCTAATCTCTTTCCCCCGCTTCCTGTCTCTCCCCCTTTCTCCCTCTCTTTCTTCCCCCTTTCTCTCTGTCTCTGCCCCCCCCCCTCTCTCTCTCTCTCTCCTCACTCATCCTCTCCCTCTCTTTCATCCTGACTCTTTTTAACTCTTTCTTTTTTCATTTTCTATCTGCCCCCACCCCTTCCCCCCTCTCTCTCTTTCTCTCTCTCTCCCTCTCTTTCCCTCTCCCTCTCTCTTTCCCCCTCTCTCTCTCTTTCCCTCTCTCTCTCTTATTATCTGAGAACCCCCCCCCGGGCTTGCCACTGTCTAAGAACCCTGTGCTGAACGAAACTTACGAATCCTTCACGAGATATATTTTCAAAGTAAGCTGGGAGTTTTTATTTCCCCTTAATTGTTTTTGTTTCACAACTCACAGTTCCATGATTACGTTTTTAACAAAATTATTTAATTATTCTACACTTTTCAAATGTTTGCATAAATATCTTTGTGATAATAATAAGAGCTATAATGTTCTTCCCTCCTCACACATCTAAAGTCATCCCTTCACAGCATTTTTCTTTTGTTTTTGTGAGTTGTGTTGCTGTCTTTATAAAAAAATGAGAATCTTTTTGGAGGTTTTGGCCCGTACAGAAAGGTGACGCAAAGAGAAAGAGAGAGAGAGAGAGAGAGAGAGAGAGAGAGAGAGGGAGAGAGAGAGAGAGAGAGCGAGAGAGAGAGAAAGAGAGAGAGAGAGAGGGGGGAGAGAAAAAGAGACAGAGAGAGAGACGGGAAGTTTTAATGAAGAGAGAGAGAAATGGAACGATTTAATGAAGACAGAGAGAGAGAGAGAGAGAGAGAGAGAGAGAGAGAGGGAGAGAGAGAGAGAGAGGGAGAGAGAAAGAGAGAAGGAGAGAGAGAGAGAGAGAAGGAGAGAGAGAGAGAGAGAGAGGGAGAGAAAGAGAGAGAGAGA